CTTTTCCAATCCACCAGGAATTAAGTTCCTCGGAATTTGACCTTAATTTTCTCAAATTCATCTCAGCGTCTTTAAAAATCTTAACCACGTCTGAGGATAATCGACATGCATCCTCAATAGTGTCTGCACCGTAGTATAATCGTCTACATATAACGAGGAATCTAACATTTCATAACTTTCTGGATTTGTGCTTTTATATTTTTTAATGTGGAATTTTATCGTCATCGCTAAAAATTGCTGGACTACAGCAAAGTCCGAATGAAGACGTTTAAACCTTAAAACTTATTTTTCCTCACTATTCCCGAACCAAAGAAATTTTAAATATTCCCTATCCTTTTCTAAGATTCCTATCATTAAAAAGGCCTTAGCTAAATCTCCGCTGAAAGCAATTTCATATTTCCGAAATTTTAAAATTATGTCCAAAACCACGGGGATCAAACTAGGTCCAATGTCTAAAAAATCATTTAAGGACTTTACACCTTTAGCTCTAGAAGAGCTCGCGTCGTAAACAATCCTACACCTTGTGGTTTCCTTAGGTTTTATTATTTCCCTGTGCGGCATAAAATACGATGCCTCCGTTATTTCCTGTGAACACTTCTCAACTATACCCTCCTTCATTTGCTCTTCAATTACGGATTTATACTGCTGATAAATCTCAGGATTTCTAATAAGTCTATTTTTAAGATTTTCAAATCGTCTTAATGCTATTCCGAAATTATTTTCTAACTGTCCTGCTTCCGATTTCCATAATAAGCTGACATAGTATCTATTACCTTCTAACCGTATTTCCTTTTCAAAAATCTGAATCATTTCCCTCACCTCGTTAGAAATCGCTGAGTCATCGGTAAGGCCCATCAAATCTAAAGTCCATAACGATCTCAATGAATCAGTTACGCAAGTAGAAAGGTTTACTATTGCCGTGTTTTGAGATACTATTTCGCTCTCTTTATCTTGAAAGCCAACTGGGACCCATCCAAACCATGGACCTTATAAGAAATAGACTAACCAAAACGGGTTTTCTCCCTCGTCTGAGGTGTTGTCAGCTGTCACCTTGATCACATCCGGAGGTAGGAACGACTTGCAGAAATTTGACAGTGGTTATCTATTGCAGCGCGTATAATTGTAAAGAAAAAGCTGGTTGTAGCACCTCATTTCACAAATTAGAATTTCGACATATTTTTATTTTTGAAACTGAGATTGATTTTTAAAACTTTAGCATATTTATCGAGCATAATTAACGTTTCAAATAATTATAAAGCTATTGCATGCTTTCAGGGCTGGATATTTTTTTAGCTTTTCCTATGCTGTAAGGAAATTTGTAACTATTTCTTTTAGAAAATAATATTTTAAATCTGAACTAATAGAAAATTTCAAACAAGCAATTTTCTCTTGCAATTTTTATGCTTTTTATTGGTGTAAATAAGTAAAAAGTACTAAAATATTTAAAAACGAATTTTTGGAAGTTTTGTTTAAAATTCTAAATTGTGCTGCTTTTTTAAAATTATAGATGAGTATTGTAGCACAATTTCTATAAAGCAATTTTATTTCAATTATCTTCCATAATACATCATAGTGCTAAAGACTTTTGCGCCTTAAAAATTTTTATACATTTAATTCTAATATTAAAATTGTATTTAACCGTAATAATCAATTTTGCTTGTATTTTATAGTGACTATTTTTTTTAATTTATTTTTAGTTTTGCATAAGATTTTTTTTTTTTTTTTTTTTTTTTTTAATATTGGTCCCCCAACACGAATTTTTTTCCCATTTAGTCCATCTGAGAACCACCGTTTGTTTCAAAACCTTTTCAACATCTGGACCCCTTACTTCTAGTTATGTGTTCTTGTGTTTTTCTTATTTCTGTGTATAATTATTGATTTTGTTTTATGCATAAATATATATGCTACTTTCCTGCCGAATTTTGTGTCAATCAAAGTAATATTTATTGATTTTTTTGCATTTTACATCTTCGTGCTTAACTTTTGGAAGTGAATGTAAAACAAATTCCAAATTTGGGCTTGTAGATGGCCAAATTCGGGTGGAAACGATGGGTTATTCAAAATTTGAAGGCTCTAGGTACCATTGTTTTATCAAAGTGTGAGAAATATACATACATTTACGCAGATTTTTCATTATTTAATTTCTTTAAATATAATACAGGGTGATAATATTTGGTGGCAACAATTTGAAAAGTGAATTTTATATTTTTTATAGTGACCCAACGAAAAATGCCAAAACGAAATTAATAGTCCTTCTGGGCAAACTGCCCCTTTGGACTAAAAATATTATTAAGAACTGCGTTTATTGCTTAATTTGTTAATCAGTAAAAGACAAAATCAATTTGAAAGTTATACAGTGGTTCCCAAAAGTGTTCGTACACTTATCATTGAAATAGGGCTCTATCCATTAATTAAAAGTAACTTTCTGAATGAGATTTTAATAATAAGATATGTAATCTATTTGCAACAAAATTACATGAAATATTTTTAAAATATAGCAAAACTTTATTGAGAAATTAATAATAAAAAAATGACAAACATTTTATCTCACAAAAGTCTTCGTACACTGAAATATTTTTTGATAAAATAAAAATTAGAATTATCGTTTGCCGCTTTTTTTTTTAAATTTTTGCATTTAAAAAATCGTTTGCTTTACTTTTTTATTGTTTACTTGATAATATTCTATTTATAATTGAAAAATGGGTCGCAGTCGTAAAGAAATTACAAACAGCATTCGAAAATTAATAATTTTTCACCATAATAGTGGTAAATCAATTCGAAATATCGCTAAATTAGTTCATTTATCCCATTCTACAGTGCAGCATGTGAGAAAACGCTTTAAAGAAGAAAATCGGATTCAAAACAAGGTAAGAAAAGGTCGACCGAGAAAGTTAACTAAAAGTAACGAGAGATTTATTATTAGGAAATTTGTGAAAAACCCACATTTGAGTGCTGTAAAAGTTTCTGCAGAATTTAATGCAAAGTTTTCTACTTCGATTTCACCTGAAACTGTTTGGCGAGTTCTCAGAGAAACTGGATTACATGGGGTTCCGCACGTAAAAAATTTTGTGCTAGTGAGAAAAACAGAAAGCTTAGGCTTTCATTCGCAATATCAATGATAAATACACCCGAAAGGTACTCGAATAATGCCCTATTTGATGATGAAAGCGAATTTAACATTTTTGGTTCCGATGGTCGAGTAACTGTATGGAGAATAAAAAATGAGGAGCTTTATTCTAAGAACTTAGTTGGAACGGTTAAGTATGGTGGTGGACATGTTCTTGTGTGGTGCATAGCAGCATCAGGACTATGTAATTTGTTATTTATTGATGACACAATGAATCATTCTCTTTATTTAAATATTTTAAGAGACAATTTAAAATTATCAGCCCAAAATTTGGGTATTGGAAACAACTTTATTTTTAATCATAACGATCCTATTTGGCTCTCAACGTTCGCCTGTGGTGTCTCTATAATTATCCACAGGTTTTGAAAACACCACCTCAATCGCCAGATTTAAACCCCATAGAACACATTTGGAAAGAACTGGAGGTTAAAGTACGAAAACTCGACATCAAAACATTCATGATAGAAGAACGGATGATTATTGATACAGAAATTACAAAAAACTAGTAATCTATTCCTAGATGTTTAAAAGCTATTGTTGATGCTAAAGGATATGCGACTAAATATTAATATAACGAAAAATGAAAATATTTATTAATATGTCAAGATTTTTTTGAAGTGTACGAAGACTTTTGTGAGATAAAATGTTTGCCATTTTTTTATTATTAATTTTTTTAAAAATATTTCATGTAATTTTGTTAAGAATAGATTATAGATCTTGTTATTAAAATCTTATTCAGAAAGTTTACTTTTAATTAATGGATAGAGCCATATTTCAATGAAAATCATACATGTACGAACACTTTTGGGAGCCACTGTATATATATATATGAAATGTAGAATCTCATACATTATTTGTGTTGTGCAGCCGGGGAACAGAAATGAGACAAATTTTGGAATATAAAGTGATACGCTTGTTTTAACATTGATCTCACAAATGTTCCCTCCTGTACCTCCTGAAGAAGCCCTATTTATAGATATGTGTGCGTCATGATGCTCATCCAATCAGCAACATTAATTGAAATCACGAGATGTCGCTATCCTCTCATCAGGAGTGTTCTTAAGGACTTTATGTAATATGACAGACTTATGAGTTTGGCGGGCGCCAACTCATTAGTCATTGTGAAAAGGTTAATATAATTTATACTAAAGAAAGGATTTCATCAAAATTTAGGAACATGGATGCAATTTAAATAGAGAATCGAATTAAATAGAGACACATTATTAAGCAATATGATTCGAATTTAATTTAATCAATTGATTTAAAAATATCATTACATATATATAGATAGATACTGTTTTATTTCAAATTTAAGTCACGAAGGATTTCAAAACAGAAAAAAATAATTAAAAATTTCAATCTCTAGATATAAGACTAGCAAGAATTTAAAACTAGAAAGCATGAAAAATAAAAAATTTAAAAGAAGTCATAATAGGTATGTAAAATAAATTTTTGAATTTGAACTAATAAAAATATAATAAGCTACCTAATTACTGAGAAATAAAATGCAAAAATATTTGCTTTAAAGTTTTTGAGGTCTTATTAACTGCTACACACCCAATTTAGAAAAATTAATTTTTTAATTAATCAAAATACGTACATGGCAATAAATAACAGGAATCTCAGCGATCAGAAAAACGCATACATGAACTTGTAAAAACAGAAGGTGAAAGTTCTCTCTTGCAGTCGCGCAGAGATGATATTCTTATCGCGCATGCGCGAAGAGAACTCGAAGCGCAGAAGAAAGGGCCATAAGTTAAATCACATTGAAGGGGGGAAGTGCAGCTTAAGTTCAAAATACTGTAATAGATAGATTAAAAATTTACATAAAAACTTTCAGTTCAGAATATGTTTTGAAAAAGGAAATACAAAATTTTATTTTTAAAAAGTTGTTTATTGTCCCACTTTTTACAATTGATGGCAATTTTATAAGAAAAACTGAGAAAGCATGCTAATAATTAACTGCTTTCTTGTTTACATTTTTTGAGAAAAACTGTGATATAAAACATTATTACTGAACATCTAAACAAATGAGAAAGAATATGCATTACAATTATCACAAATTCTAAAATTACATTCACAACTACATGTAAATGTCACATATCAGTTATCATGAAACCTATATACATTTTTCACAAAGTGAAAAAAACACATCTCGATGAAAAGGTCACAAATCATATTAATGCATTCTTTCCAATAACACAAAAGTAAGTTTTGAAAAAATACATCAAAAATGTAAACCAACATACAAAATGCAGTGATGATACATGCTTTATAAAAAAGAAAGTATTTTTAAGAATTGCGAAATAAAACTTAAGACCAAAACTTCTCCACACAAGAGTAAATGTCTTCCACTTTCCATTAAATACATGTGTTGCTGACTGGAAGGATAGAAAGTTACTCATTTCAAAACTATGTTAGCAATACCTTAAATATTCATCATTTTCACAATGTTCCTTTCAAACCACTTATTCTTGGGGTGCCATTGCCTTTGCTTGAGCTCTAACTCGTTTCTCATATTCTAATCGATTCTGACTATAAAAAGTTATATTAGAATTTAATTAAAATTGAATTCATTTCATTTTACACAACAAAATCCAAGATTTCGATTTACACGTTTTGTGTGGAACCTATCTTCCACGTAAATCGAGGGATAGGTGTAGTTAAAAAATGTATTTTTAAAATTATTGTAAATATATAGCAAAAAGTACAGTCAAAAGTCTTTAATCCGGACTCGTCGGGACTTCGGCGATTCCGGATTATAGATCATCAATTTAAATCTGGTGAGATGGCATGCAGAAATTATAAAATTAAAAATATGAAACTGTAATTTATGAAATAAAGAGCAATTATGATCTAAAGGGTATCAAAATTTAAAAAAAAAAAAAAAAAAAAAAAAAAAAAGCTTTATATTTGTATGTTTACTTTATTAAACATTTCTTTCAACGCACACATGCGTAAAGCATACATTGCGCATAGTCGAAATTTGAAAATTGCAACCAGAAAACTGTTTGATGTGTATTCATGATATTTATAATGACGAGGAATTTGAATTAAATTATATCAAAGATGGAGTACATCGACATGAAATACTACATTTAGTAAGGAATTATAAGCCGAATAAAATAGAAACATCTGCCCTGAATATAAGGATAGTGCTGACAGATCAACTTCCAGTTCATTGCTATCCCCCCCCCCCGGGAGAGCAGCATGAAATTGATAAACAGATTTCGGAATGGTTAGAAAAACAAAGGATATGCCTTTATCCCTTTTTTCAGCAATTCCACTTTTTGTTTGATAGATATCGAAACATGCTTTCGCTTTGTAGATCCTTTGGCGTCTTCAGAATCGGAAATTCTTTTTGACATAATCGAAAGTTCAAGCTTACTTTTATAAAATTGCTCTAACAGTCTGCTAAAAATAATAAGCCGGATCCAATTCGAAGATTAAGGAACAACGCACTCTGCAATATTAACTGAAATAGATAATTAGATAATTTTAGCTTAGCTTATACCGTCCGTTACACATTAAACGCGCATGCGTAAACGCATTCAGAAAGTTTGTAGCTTTGAGGTCCGGATTAAAGACTTTTGCCTGTATTTATAAAAGTTCCACTATAATACTACTTTGACAATACTTAAAACAACTGAGTATTGCATTAATTTTTCAATAAAATTACAGAATAATTTAAAACAAATAATAATAAACTTACCATTACAGTTATAACAAAATTAGCTGATATGAAAAAGCAGAAAACTCAACTGTTATATTACTTTATCAACTTGGTTAAAATAATAGTTAACCCTTCACAAATGGAAGTTATTTCATTCCTTTTATTTAAGTATAGAAAAGTATCTTATATCACACTTACTGAAGGGTTAAAATACACACATAAAAATATGCCTTACGTTTTATGTTAATTTACTGATACAATTAGAACCAAGTTAAAACTTTTAAAGGAAATTTCTAAGCAGTATGATATTAATTTATCAATACAATAAACTGCAATAACAACAACTTAAAAAAAAACCCCTCAACTCTTAGGGCAGTGGTGCCCAACCTTTGGCCTATCACGAGCACATTTCGGCCTATCACAAGCACATTTGGGCCTATCACGAGCACATTTCCAAAACATCAACATTTTTGTTAAACATATTTCCAATCTTATGTGATACATCTGAAATATTAATTTTGGCAAATAGGTTTGAGATGAGTAATAATATTGGTTAAACTTTATGGAAATAAGATAAGCGGAGTTCAAAATTATTTTTCAGTGCATTTAGGTTTTCTGAGTATTTCTCTGTTTCAATTGCCTTGTGGTTATTAATATGGATGGATAAATTCTGAAAACGGGTGAAATTTTTTTCTTTCATCTAATTTACTCACAAATTGGACTTTATCTGAAAAGCAGTTACAGTCCCAATCAATTGAAAAATGGTTTTTTTCTTTCCTCATGGAGATCTTCGTTCAGTTTGCTCAGTTATAGCTGTTATATCCATGAATAGATTGGAGAACGAATATTATTATCATCCAATTCTTTAATAACTTTTGTTTCCGGGATTCCCAAAACTGCTTTATTGGCGAAAGACGTTCTACAAATCGTTGAAGTACTTTTTCCCCCCTGTTGAGCCATCTAACATCGGGATTAAGCAATAAGATTCCACGTTTGTTATCAAGTTCATCAATCAGCAATAAATTATTTTATAGCGTCTTGCAAGATATCTCTTATGACTATAAATGCTTACCATATTTTAATGATTAAGAAATATAAATGAATGGTTAAAGCATTTTTTGTTCATAGTACCTAATCGGGCTGGCGAGCACATTTGTGCTCAAGCACAGGGCACATTCGAGCACAAGGTTGGGCACCACTGCCTTAGGCACCGTTGCCTTAGGGACTAATAACCTACAGATCTGCTCATACCCAACTGTGACTAGGTAATTAAAATTTGTTCTAAAATTCTCAACACATGCTGCTCTAGTAACTGTTAAATTTGTGCTTGTGAGCAGATGTTTTTGTATTCTTTGTTATTTCATTCAACATCTCAGAAACAATTGAGCGATTAGCTTTTCATAAATCATTATAAAGATTTACTGATTTGAAAGATATTTCTCCTTAGTGCTCAATTATTGCTATTACTCTCAGAAAATACCATTCTTTAGGAACATATAATTTTCTTATTAAAATAATGGAAATTCCCCCCCCCCACAAATTTAAAGTCAAAAATGAAAATTTTGCATTTATTTGCCAAAAAGTATATAAATAAAAAAATGACTGCATTTAACATGGGGAAAATGTACTCTAACTTCATGAGCTCCTACAACTGACTTATCTTTTAGTTTTCCTTTTATTTATTGCTTTTTATTTTCAAAGTGGTATATACTTACATCTCAAAATATCTCCAGGAAGATTACCTGAATCAAGGACATACTTTACTGAGCTAGCTAATTTTCTAATTCATGCAACAGAATATCGGCTTTTAAACACATTCTTACTACATACTGAACGATCTTCTTTTTCCATTTTAACATATTTTTTTTCCACTTAAAAACTACAAACAATTATACTCTGCTGCTTAATACTAAAAGGGCCTGGGATGAGAATATTTTTCTTCTTTAAGCGACTGGCATTTATCATATGCCTTGATAGGATATCCCCCCTTTTTTTTGGAATTTTGCAAAAATACTACAATTTTTCATATAACAATAAGGATGTAAGTACAAATCCATTAGTTTATAAAACAAATGTAATATACATACCAATAGATAGTGTAAGCTTCAGCTTGAGCAGGGTCTTTAATATTTGGTTCATTTAAAAGATCTTGGATACCCAAAAGTATCTAAAAATAAAAACATAATGCAATTATAGCAATTCTACAATAACTATATAAAACTGATTTAAAAAATTAGTAAAATAAAGCCAAAATAACAAATTTTTCATACTCTTTTTTTCTTGATGTTATCATCACTCATATATTTTTCACTGCAGACGATATTTAATTATTTTTGCACTTAATTGTTACTCACTTAAAATTGGAATTTTCATATGGACTAATTTATACTACCTGATCAATAAAATTTGATACTTAAACAAATATTCTTTGTAAAGACAGAACAATAAATTCAGTTATTACAGCAAAAAGCTTGGCTCTACAACTGAAACACAATTAAAAAAAAAAAAAAAATAAGTAAAATTAATACCACCACTACGATTTTTCACAATGTTAAATGATAAAAATATAGTTTTTAATAATGAATTAACTTTAAATAGTTACTAAGTCTTAAATGCAAGCAAAACAAAAATACCTTAGACATAAAAACATTTTTATTACTTTCATCGTTTAAAAAAAAAAAAAAAAAAAAAAAAAAAAAAAAAAAAAAGGCACTTTAATCAGTTTTCATACAAATGTTATGGACAGTGGCAGATTTTGCTCTCGTTAAGAAAGAAACTTCATAATTTTGTTCATAGCAATTGCCACGTAGGCCTGCTTTCGCTAATAAAAGTTTTTCTAATGTGTCATCACTAATATTAGTTCTAAATTTAGTCCTCGTTTTCGCAACAACACTGAAAATCCTCTCACACTCTGCATTACTATGGGGAACTGTCAAGATGGCCAACATAATTCTAGAGAGTTCACTATATTTTAAAATTCCATCAGCACCTTTCAATTTTCCAATTAACCTCCACTGGGTGTCAATCCTAGCTGATTTTATAACTTCATCCAAGTTTTCTAATTGTAAACTGCAAAATTGCGACTGCAGTATATCAGTAGCAACATCAATATCATCATCTTTCATGACTAAACGAAGTAACACAGGAAATCTATTCAAAAAGTACCTTATATCAAAAAAAGATACATTTGCTAGAGCAGAAACATCAGGAACTTTAGCATGCAAAATCACTTTATCGTTGACTGGAAATTTATGTAGTGTGTAATCACATACTCGACAGAAGTAACTTCTAACATGAAGATAAAACTTATTTTTTGTCTTCTTCTGAAAGTTCTTCCACTACTTTTTTGTAGTTGCAGCTCCTATTACCAAATCTTCATCTTTCCTTCTGATTTTCTGTTTCACCATAAATCACATCATATATAAGAATTATAAGACAAAACACCAGACTGGTTTTACAAACTTTGATAAAATGTCTTTAAACAGATCATAAATCATTGATTGCAAAACATGAATTAAATGGAATTTCTGCTTTGTAGAATTGTGTTCAGAACATCGAATGATGGCAAAATGAATTGTAAAAAAAAAAAAAAAAAAAAAAAAAAAAAAAAAAAGCAAAAAGCTTTTGTTAAGGTCCGAAGAAAAAAACATAAATATTCGTTCTTCACAAGATAACTTACAGTAATCGTAATTGAAAATGTTTCGTGTGTTGAGCAATTTTTTTTTTTTTTTTTAATTTTGAGAGAAATTTGTATCAGCTTTACGCTTATATTTTGCAGTATTATTTTGAGAACTGCCAGTTGAATTGCTGAATGATGCAGAAATTACAAAAAAATCAAAATTTTTCTCATTTCAGTATTATGCAGCTGTTGGAACTGTTTCAATTTTTCCTTTCTTTTAGAACTCCTTTCAAGATAATAATAAATATCAACAATGTGTTCATCCACATTTAATGGTAAAGAAGCTGCTCCTTTTTCAGCTGCTAAATTTAAGAGGTGACAGGTGCACCTCATAATCTGCAAATCTGAATTTGCCTTTCTTAAGATGCCTGCAACACCAGCCTTCAAGCCTACCATTACTGGTGCATTATCGGCACCAAGCGCTAAGCAATTATCCAGAGGGACTGCATTTTATTTTAAAGTTTTAATAATTAGCTGTGCTATATTAAAGCCTGTCGAATGTCCTTCTAAAGTGGGGGCAGAAAGTAAACTGCACTCAATTTCTGAAGACTCTGGATTAAAAAAAGAAACAACAATTGGATACAGTTTTGAATTGGTATTATTGCTTCCATCCGTAGAGAGGCAGAACGGAGCTGTTTTAATGCAATCAATAACTGAAGATTTATTTTTCAAACCCATTTCTTTAACAATTGCACCTGTTTTGGTCCTTGCACTTGAGTATTTCTTAGCGATTTCACTATCGGGAAACATTTTTCTAAATAAAGCTGCAGCGTGATCCGATGCATTCAGTGGCATGTTGTGCTCCAATAAAAAGGCAGAGAACAGTCTGCATTAATCACCTTTTAGTCTTTTGTTTCCGAAGAAAAATTTAATTTTTCGTTTTTTCAAAACAACTCATGTTGTCCTTGTGTTTTTGTGTACGCACATGTTTGAGAACATCTGCCCTTCCACCAAGCGAAATCGAAAAATCGCAACGACAGATGGTACACCTCGCAAAGTTATTACACTTCCTTGAAGAAATAATGGAAGGAAAGTCAACTGTGTACGATTTTTGAAACGTGCACGAGTATTTCACCTTCTCGCAGACATATTAAAAGACGATAATTTCTAAAACTATTTCCTAAAGGCACGTGTACTCACACAACTCAGGACAAGATGAACGAAATAGCGAAAGAACATCCAAAGAACGGCCAACGGCCTTGAGCTTGCTTTGCGCTCATTGGCTAATATATGCCAGATGACACGCAGTGGAGCTCGATGCCCATTGGACAACTGTAGAACGAAGTTTCTGGATACGTATGCTGTCGATCACAAAGCAGAAATTCTCATCTGATTCGCAAGGTTTCATTTTAGATATAATCTAGAGAAAATTCAGTTGCTTTCAGACGTCCAAAATCACTTTTTTTTTTTTTTTTTTTTTTTTTTTTTTTTTGTTCATATAACGAAGTATTAAGCCAAGTTACATAAAAATCGTGAGAAATTTTAAGAATAAGAAAAAGTCGGGAGAAATATATTGTAAATCGGGTTGGCGGGAGAGTTGGCAACTCTGAATAACTGATAAATAAATTCAAAACCTGAAGATTTCTATCTTCAAAAGAAGATAAATTATTATTTTTAATCAGCAAGTACAAAAACTTTCAGCTATAAAATAGCTCATTTCCATTACCATATTTCTAAATTTATCATACATGGAATATTTTCAAAAGAGCTTTACAAGACTAAATATGGAAAACTGCAAAAATATTAATATACATTTATTTATTATTATTATTTTTACAAAACATAAAGAAATGCAAAAAAAGAAAATTAATTTTTTAACATAAAGTGCAATGCACATTTTCTGATTGATTATGTTTTATTTTATGTTACAGAATAGCTTCACATAATGCAATTTATCCCTCAATTTAAGAGACAATTTGAATTATCTGAACTAAAAATCAGGTTTTTATGATCCACAAATAATAAATTTATTTTAATGTGACAAAATACTTGATAATAATTTTATATATATAATATATATATATATATAAAGCTTCAGCTGACATGTTGTCCACATTATTGTAGCTCTGCTTGTTTATTTTAAAGGAAAACAGGAGAATGAAATTCCCTGAATTTTCCAGGTGTGTTTTAAGAAAATTTCAGTCTAAGCATGTAATGTACGTTAGCTACATGGCTTTGCTGCTGAGGGTTAATTATTTAATTAATACACACTATTTACAAATCAGTTATTAAATATCAGTAAAATGACTTTTATTTTTCTTTTACATAAATTACTGATTTTGTATTTTAAAACCTGCTTGTTTTGAAAAACTTTTTTTTAAAAAAGTAAATTCAAAATTTTCTGAAAATAAACTCAACATAAGTATTTGGATGCTTTGTATAAACAGTCTATATGTTAAAAAAAAAAAAAAAAAAGACACAAAAATAATGGGACATTCAATGTTTTGTTGGAAATCCTTCAATTAAAAATACTCTTTCTAGCATGGATTCATTTAGCAAGGAATTAAAGTACAGTACAAAGTCTGAGATTCAGACCTCCAATATCCGGATCTCAAAGACATCAACAACTTATTTTTTTTTTGGTATGCTTTACACATGCACGTTTGATCCCCTCCCCCCATGCAGTAAAACACGTGGAGAGTCCAGATTCACAATTTCACTTCAGCACTAAGTAAAATGCCTGGTTATTGAAGAAACAATTTTAGCATAAATTTGTATGATCGAGAATTTGGCTCCAATCCGTATCTGCTTGGTATACATCTCAAACCGAAACATTCTACATTGATACATCGTTGATTTTACAACTACAGTGGAATCTTGAGATATGTGTTTAATTCGTTCTGCATTGAGCTCATATGGTGAATTTCTTGTACCTAGAAACAATCTTGGAAATCCAGTTAATCTGTTTAGCATTCCCAAAAATAAATTTTTCTCATAAATAACACTGGTAAATAATATAACCGTAGTTTACCTTTATGATGGCTTCAGACAAATGGCTATAGCTTCTGGCACCGACCTTTTAACTGCATCTTGTTGATCCACACCAACAACAGCTTCTAGGAGTTTTGGACAGTGCTTGGAAGAAACGGTAACTCCTTTGGCTACATCAAGTTTCTTAATTAGTGCAGATCATCGATGTCTAAAAGCCGCAAGTCTTTGCCATTTCCGTCACACTTACACCATGCCTATGTTTATCATTTCTTTCTTGATTTCAACGGCCATGGCTTCCTTATTCTTCTTTGCAGCAATCTTCTTGGCAGGCAGCGTGAAATAATTGTTTTCACACTAAATGTAATAAACAATTAACTCACAAGCGCACAAAAGAACACTGGGTGATCTGAGGAGGAGATTTCTCCAAGTTGAGCCAGATCATTGAGCCGATAAGTGGTAATGAAATGTGACCTTCGACCCCACTCACCCGGTGTTGCCAAACCACGCTATAAGTAAACGAATCACGCTTTTTTTTCGTACACCAGGTACTTGCTACTATGGCTCCTAAAAACGCATATAAAGCCTCCTGTTGACGCAGCAATTACTTTTCCCCCTCCCGGCAGTTGCGCTAAAGCAGTGCGAAGGATACTGGGACACAAGACTCTGGTTGCGCTAAGTGAGTGCTCATACAAGACTTTCTTTGGCTCATATCCCGGCATTGCTTGATGCGCCAGCCTGGATTTTAGGAGCTCTACTTGCTACTCATTCATTCTGCACTAATAAAATAATGAAAAAGAGATCTATAAGAAGTATCCACCAACCAAAATGCAGAGATTACAATCACAAACTAGAACATAATCTAGAACATTTCCAAACTGCAATTAGCAAATATGTTACCTTACTTATTTTCTAGACAAAATAGCCCACTCCTAAAATACAACATACTTCATATTTTTCTTAAACTTGTAAAAAAACATTGTTAATAAGAAAATTCTTTATGAAAGTAGAATCAAAACCAGGTTGCATAAGAAGTTAATAGACTATGCAGGGATGCTATTTGAAACAGTGTCTTATGCAGGAATTAATTTAATGAGATGATGATATATAGCAACTTCGACAAATACACTAAATTAATTTTAAAGTTAAAAAAACTACATATATGTTGAATACAACATTTGACTTTTATTTATGTTACAAACATTCCTTCAAATCAAATTATATTGAAATCATCATTAAGCAAACAGGAACTAAATTGCACAATAGTAAAGTACACAGCAGGAGATGAGTTAACTTCTGTATATATAAGATCGATTTCTTCATTTAAAATGTGCAGCAATCTATCTATCAAAATCTTGAAATTTAACATCCAGACAAACATAACAGGGTTCATACACATTTCTGCATGTGGAAATTAAGTACTTTTAAGAAACATTAATAAAAAAAATTAAGGATTTATGAAGCAAATAGGCATTGAATACACTAAAGAAATTATCTGCACCCAAATTTTCCTTTTGCGATTTGAAAGAATAAAATAAATCTGTAGGTAAGATGCTTTATTATTAACAAAATCTAATATATAATTTAATTATAAAACAAATTCAAGAATAAAATAAAAAAATTTTTTCAAGTAACTAGCATTAAATTATAAAATTTCAGGAAACATTTTTATTTTACACTTATGAGTGTCTCGCATATTACTTACATTTTTCTAATACATTAGCTCTATACTGATTCTTTCATGCCTCATTTCATCTCGTACTCACTCTGTCCAGAGGTTTTACATGCAAATTTTATGTCAAGTGACATTGTGAAATATAATAATAATCAGCATGATTCATAACAGAAGCTTGGCTGCTGCCACCACAGCTGCTTGCTTAGGGACAGGCAGCCGCTGATCAGAACAGATGAGAATACCTGACTTTGGTATGGTTGATACAGGCTGAAAGTTAGCTGCATTTTGTCTGACCCAGACTAAAATGCAAAAGAAGTGTAAAGCAGACAAATTTACTTTAAAACATAGAAGGAAGACATATTTTTGTATGGCAGTAGTGCTAAGAAAAGTTTATATTCTTTCTAGAAAAGCTAACAGAATGTTTTCACAATGATACTAAAAATGCCATGGTTAAATTTCATTTGCCAGTTTAAATCATCTTCTATCGGCTGTGATCAATGAAAAATCACTTCACAATTGACTTGTTGGCCATTCTTGCTGTACTAGATCACTAAAAGGCACTAGATGTTATCACTAACTGGAGCCTCAAACTCAAGCTTAAATTCTGCATCGATAAAACAAAAATGATCACATTTCCAAAGGGTAATAAACTTTGGTAATAGCCCTTCCTGTATAAAATGGCAGGGCCGAGCACTAAAAAATGATAACACTTTAAAATACTTAGGATTCTTACTTTATAGAAAACTCACCTGGGTACCTCATTAAATATGATACAAGATAAAATCAGCAATCTTATCAACAGCTTAAATCGCATCATGACAAATACTTGGAACCTAAAAAGGAAACTTTTGAAAGAACTCTATTTGTGTGGCATTGAAAGAATGATCCTTTATGGCTCTCCCATCTGGATGACTGACATAGTAAGGGTTAATCAGAAGCTACTCCAAATTCATCGCATCACCTTCTCAAGGTCACTGTTTCACTACCACAACCATGGCAGCTCTTTAAATACTAGCAGGTTTCTCCCCTTAGATCTCAAAGCAGAAACTAAATGTGGAACTTACAGGTTAGTTCACTTTAAGGATTCCTTCCAGGAACGAGGAGTCTCAATGACTCCTTGTTCCTGGAATTTATGAATTTATTTTCCTGGAATTTATTTCCAGGAAATATGAATTCCTGGGTTTATGAACGAGGAGTCATTGAGACTCCTCGTTCATAAACCAGCACTCTTTAGAACCACAATACCACTCTTCCGTATACCCAGCTCTTCCGAAAGATCTAAAATGGCTTAAATATCTACCAAAGGAAGGATTTTCTGATGGCTCCAGAATTTCAGAGCAAGTAGGTGCAGATTATGTCACATTCTGCCATCAAAACATCAAATGTGTCTGCTGCGGCCTCAGCTTTTTCAGCAGACATCTTGCATTACATCTACGACTGTCCACTCATTTCTTACACCAGAGCCTCCCTTCCTCAGCTTAAGGGATCACATAAGACCTTCAGGATTACTAAGGACAGTGGGGCATCAGAACCATCATAGAGTACGTCTATTCTAAGAGAAACATAATCATAGCTTATAACCAGGTCTACACACCTGATGAAATGTAAAGGTAGCAAGCCTCCATTCATGTTAACAAACTGATGTGAGTGAAAAAGTTTTTCATGTTAAAGAATATTTGGGGGCGGGCATTTGAAAGCTTCCAGATTTTACATTATGCCCTTAACATTTTGTGTGTTACCTTTATTTACTAAATATCATGTTCTTTACACTTAAACCACAAAATTTAATTCGGCTGCAACATTGCAAAATAATTTTAAAATCAGCATATCTTTAGAATTTCCGATACAGTCTCGTGCACTAGGGATAAAATTCGCCCCACCCTCGTACAGGTGTTGACATTGCTCACTTTGAAATCGTCGAGTTTTTTAATAAAAACATTCGTTAAAAGTTTTACAAAACATGAAATAGATAAAACAAATTCCAAATTTGGGCTTCCAGATGCACATATTCTGGTGGAAACGTATGTTATTCAAAATTTGATGACTCTAGGCACCGTTGTTTTATCACAATGTGAGAAGCATACATACATTTATGCAGATTCTTCATTATTTAATTTTTTAAAATAAAATACAGGGCTCTAATATTTGGTGGCAACAATTTAAAAATTGAATCAACGTAAAATGCCAAAACGAAAATAATAGTCCTTCTGGGCAAATTGCCCCCCCCCCGGACTTAAATACCATAAGCCGATCTGTAGACAGTTCCCCCCCCCCCCCGAATAAGATTGTCCCTTAAACGATGAAGTTTTATTGGGTTAAGTACCAATAAAATAAACCAGTTTTGTCTGCACTAAAGATATCTTTCATTTCATATTCTTTAAGTATTGAAGGCAACCAATCTGCTGTCACAATGGGTAAAACGTGATTAGCTTCACTGTCAACATTTTAGTACTATGCCATTTTATTCTTGAAACATTCTAACCATCTTGGATTTGCAGAAAATGTAATACCTATTTGTAGCAATTTCATTGCTTCTTTCTAGCATTAAAGATCCTGATATGGGAGCATTCTGAGATCTTGCTTGCCTGAACCAAACAAATAAAGCTATCTCTAAACCCTCGTGCTTGGCTGTTCTCATCCTTTCTTGCTGTAGCTCAAACTTTCTCCATTCAAACATTTCCATAATTTGCATTAGCTTTTTTATTATTGTCAAATTAGCAATACCAAAATGTTTACAGACTTCCGATTTCTTCTTTTATAAACAGCCTTAAGAAACTCTATCTTCATTTTAAACAAAACAGCAGTTTGCTTCCCCCCATGAGCTCTTTGCCACTGTGCTTGTAAAAAAATTTCTAATTATTTTTTTTTTGGGGGGGGGCAGTGGCAAATGAAACTCGCTGATTTTTATTCATACTGCGATGTACTCATCACCAAATTCCAAAGCCAACTGATGAGAGATGATATGTTTTTGTTTGGCCTTTTGTAGGATAGCTTAGATAAATAAAATTGGCTCATGTCACAGGCTATTTCGAGAGTATTTCAAAGCCAAGTTAGCCTTCTTTCTACGAAACACGTGAAATCACACTCCTCTTAAATCTTGCCTGCATGGCCGATGTTTTCTGGATTTTTTTCATTCCGAGAAGAGAATCTTTTCGTGTTAAGCGATTTGCGTTTCATATTAAGAGGAAAAAAATGCATGAAAATATATACTAGCTTGTCAGGATCGTTGTATTATTTTGTGTTGACAAATATTTCGTCTTATGTGTTTTTGCGTTCAACGTATTTCACTGTATATGTAAATACCTCTAAACTAACTAACCCATTTTGCTAATTTTGTATTAACATACCCAAAACGTTGTAAGTTAGAACACCCAACAAAAGTAATACACTTATGTTAAATCAATTTATTAATAATAATAAACAGATTTAACATTAACAACCAAAAAAATTAAGATAAAACAAACAAAAAGGTTGTTGGTGCAACGAACAGGATAGTTCTGTTTGTCAATATAAATACTGCTAAAATCATCAATAATACAAACCTGTTTAATGGTAATTGCTGGACGCCAATCCTTTTCTTCATCCAGAAGAGAAAGACAAACTGTCCCAGATGGGTAAACATTAGGATGGAAAAGAGGAGGCTCAAATTTACCTAAAGAGGAAACAAATTATAATTTTATCAACAGTATAAAAATTAATAACAGCCCAAGAAGTTTAAAATCAAATGGAGATCTAAAAAATAACGGTAAAGTTTTGTGCTACTGTCAAAATTACATGATTTTAGAGAGCTTTTTTCTTGGAGTAGGAGGTTATCGAGAAAAAACAAGGAGGATCCTATAACTGAAACAGAAGCTTGCTGTTTTGTCCAATTTAATATAGTTTTAAACTGAACAAAACAACAGTCTTAGTTTGGCTTGGATTTTAAATAAAACTATCGATTTCAGGGGAGAAAGATTGTAAAATGGGAGACGCAACAGCTGCATTTATATTGAAAGTAATGGGCGGAGCATGATTAAATTTCTAACTATGATTGCCTATCGAATTCTGCATTTAGGACATAAGACTTATGTTCAGTGACATGGAATTTGAATGCTCTTTTAATTTGGCTGCTAGATCTCAAACTACACCAACAAGGTATGCTACAAACTCCTCAAGAATTAAGGTTACAGAAGGAATGTTTAAGAATTAAACTACAAATTTTTAATAGAGAATTGCAAAAAATCTCTAAATCGTATATTTGACAATAAATGGTTAGGGATGTCATTCAAATGAGTTTTGAGATATGCATAAGAATTCACGTCTCAGACGCATCTAGATGCTGTCGAAGATTGTGTAGTGTTTCCAAAACTCTTTCAGATAACCTTCTTCAATTTTGGTCATTAGCAGCTTGGTTCTGTATGTTCTCTTCATTGTTGCAATGACTACTTGTTCCATGGGTTGGGTTAGCTCAGTAATGTTTGGGGGGGGGAGAAACTTTGCAAAAATTTGTCCATCAGAAGACTTAACATGCTTGTTGCTGACTGAGAAGGTGTGTGTTGTCGATCAATAGCACAGCTTTTTCAGGCAGGCTTTTCGATTTAAGATGTTTTGCACTTGAAGAAAAAAGATGTTTTCGAACCATTCTTGAAAAATGTTTCGGTCCATCCATTTTTTTTTTCCTTTTTTTGGTTAAAGTAAACAACGGGTAAATTTTCTATCCTTGTGCCTTTGAAAGATCTCTTTTTTTTTTTTTTTTTTTTTTTTTTAAACTTTCCAATGACAACAAGTCTTAAGTTTATGTCCACCGGTAGCCTTACTGCAAGACATGATAGTGATCCTATGCTTTGCTGCTTTTATAACCCGCCGCTTTACTTTCATTTTCAAATGCTAAAGTGCGATTCCCGATTTGTCGACAAAAGTCCCGATTCGTTGGCATTTTAAATTTGATCAAAAGATAGCTCTTTTTTTTAATACAAATTCTTCAAATTCATGGTGGAAATCGTCGGCTGCTTGTTGGTCACCACTAAGTTTCTCCCAATGAAGTCCAATTTCTCGAATTCCATGTCGCTGCTTAAAACGAGTCAACTAGCCAAAAGATGCATCAAAATTTCCTTTCAGGCCTAACAACTCAAAAAAGGTTTTTGCCTTCGCCGCAATGATAGGACCATTTACAGGAGTACCCTGTTTTCGTACTTCAGCTAACCACTCTGTCAATGCCGTGTCTAGCTCATCAAAGGTAGAACCTTTCACACTTTTTTCGCGTTTTCTTTGCGGAAGCACTATCCGACATTGATGCAAAGTTCACCAGTTTGTCTTTTTGCTTTAGAATGTCACGCACTGTTGTTTCCGCGATTCTGTAATCCAATTCCATATGCTACCTTGTAGCGCTGTTTGCTACTTTGGAAATTAATTCTAGTTTTGGCGCTATCGTCAACACAAACTTCTTTCATTTTCCTGACATTTTAAATGAGTAACAAAAAAACACAAAACCAAAAAGCACAAGCACTGAATACAATAAAAAGATAAGAAATTTAACTCGGACCGGTTCACAAACACTATTAGGCTTAAACTAACAATGGCGAGTGAAAGGAAGTGAACGTGTCAGTAAGATTAAGACGAGAAAGGGCGGTGGAGCGGGCACTGCAAGCGTGAGTAATCACTTACTCATCATAGGGGTAAGGTTCCGAGAAGGCGAGAAGGTTCCGAGAAGGCCTGGGATATTTTTGCAATAAATAAGCACGATGTTAGCAAATTTACCGTTTCGCTCAGTTTTGTGAAATTTTTATGCCTTCTTTAATTGAAAAAGTAAAGAAATCCCGTTGTACGCAAAAAGTTCTAAACTGTAGCTCGTGAAAAATTGATAACAAATAGTCATAAGTGTACAAATACAAACAACACCTGAATATTCAATAAAATCATACTAATAGTAAGCAGTATGCTAATAAAAGTAAGGCATATTTAAAACATTAGAAAAAAGTACGAATAAACGATTAAGTAAAAATATAAAAAAACTATAAAAACTAAGAAGCGGTAAATGGTACATTAGCCTAATTTGAATCTCATTATGGCTCTTCAGGGAAAATTATTATTAATGAATTTCGAATCAAGCTAACTCCATATCGGGTTTCGTTGAAACAGACAATTGAAACTGTATACAAAACACTTTTTATAAATTAATTGAAAAACTTTGCCAAAATCTTTAGTCTCAATTCTCTGTTCCAATTTCCTGACACGTCTGCTTGAAGAAACACATTAAGGTGTAATAAAAACTAGAGATAATGGATTGGTAATGCCAATGTACAAAATAAAATAAATAGCGATTTGCTATTAGTCAAAATATACAAGATTTTATGGGAGGACCTACTAGCTTATAGAGTTTATAAAAGTCCCAAAAATTTATTTTAAAATTTAAAATAATAATAATAAAACAGAGGAATTAAAGTAAGGGTCTTGCCAAGACCAAAAATCTACATAAGAGAAAGAAATATTTTTTTTTAAAACCAGTTCTGGAGTGGTGCCCTCTTCATAGTAATCAGATCAAACTCAAAAGGGGGGTGCAAGTCTCGAGCAAGCAAACTGCTAACCAACAAGGCAGGATGATGTAAAAAGGGGAAATAACATCATGAGGAAAGAGCCAATGAAAAGTGACTGACCATTGGCAAAAACCTGACTCGGTGCAAGGGGGTGTCAATACATTGAAATATGCTAAAAACTGTTGAAAATGGCATCTTGCTTTATGAATGAAGAAATTTGGGGGCAGATTAAAAGAAAAAATGGTTAATTCAACAAAATGTTATAATATGGTCACAAAAGTGAGAAGAAATAATGAAAAATAGCTACTTGTTAATAAAAGTCGAAATTCTTCAAGCTAGAGGGCCTTCAAGCTTCCAGAAATGAAATGGCCCATAAGTCAATAACAGGAAAGAATTGGCTAACAAATGCTTAAAATCTATTTAAGAATAGAATTAAAAGTATTGTGCCAAATTTTAAGAGTAAAAATTGAAGCTGTGAGGGGAACTATTTGTACATTTATAAATTAGATCTTCTGAATCAGCCATCCACTTTACATTGTCCCATAGGGCTTTAAGCATAAAATTTCATTATCTAACTAAAAAAATCTAAAAAATAAAATTATTGCCAGCTTTTTTAATTTTAACCTATTTTTAATTACTTTTTTAGGAATTAGGTTATTCTTCAAAATTGTTATATAGTACTTCTTCTTGGAGGTGTTTTGTTGTATTGCAGATTCTTTTAATTCTAAGCAGTTGAGCGTATATTGTATTGAGGACGACTCTTTTAGAAATATTGGAATTCCAGTTGTTTAATTTAAGTGTTGAAAAGTTGAATTCTCTTTCGTTAATCGTAGATCTTCTAAAATTGTAATTTATAATATGCAAATCAATTGTAATTTATAATATGCCGTTGAAATATTGCCTCCCATAGATAGGTATTCCCTGTATTTGTTTAAAGATGTTGTTATTAAATTGAATATAATCACTGAAAAGTACGCTTGAAAGAAAAAGCTGCCATTTTTCAGCATTTAATATTGCAGAAATTTTGGGGAAACTGTTTATGAAGAGCAAGTAAACTGCTATAAATTTCTTCAAGTGGCAAAGTAGTATAGAGGTTCTCAAAGTCGTAGCATTGAATATGTTCTATTTTAAATGAATTTAAGGTTTTTAGAATTTGTTCGTTCCTTGATATCATCCAGTTACAATGTAGACCTTTAAAATCATAATTATTGACGATGTCACTTAAGAGATGAAGTTTTTGTGCAAAGAGATAATCTATTTCCTTTAAGCCTTTGATGCGAGGTGGTTGCGCCCTGAAACCACCATTTTCCGAATTTTTTTCCTCCTTTTTGCGAAATTTTTGAGTGAAAATGAATTAATTACTGATCTTTTTTTACATCTAAATAACACAAAATGACTGTAGAATCATATATATTTTAGGTATTAATACTTCGGATCGGATGCCTTTTAAAATTCGTTTTCGTTGTGACAGAATAACTTCCTTTCATTAATATAAACAACTTTAAATTTCAAAAGGTAGTCATCGCACATCATGATTTCTATCATAAACAATAAAAATTGCAGTAATTAAACTGCATATATAAAAAAAACCATCTATATGTATGGCATTTGCTATGTGGTTTCCGGGCGCAACCACTGCGTCACTAGAGCATTGTGTCACAATGCTTACAATCCTCTAGAGGCTCGGTTGTCGCGCCTTGAAACCACTGGCGTTTGCTTCTCAATGGCGTTCGCTTGCTTTTCAAATAGGAATGCTTATTTTTACTCGGATATAGATAAAGGGCTTTGAAACCACAGAGTTATTTTATTACTAAACAATACATGCACCTGCCCAGTAAAAAGGTTTTTCTTTTCCAAATACTTTTCTCTGACATCAACACACTTGCTCCCCAAGCTAGTATTTTGATTTTATAAATTATTTCCTGTAGTTTAAATTTAATGTAAATATACTTTGCTATAATAAAAAATAGAAATTGCATAAAAGTTTTATTAAAATTAAAAATATTTTCTGAATATTTTGGGACAAAATACGAATAAAATAAGCATGAATGGGAAACGAACGATCCGTACAAAGCCAAAAAGACCAAGCCCCCCCATTAACATAAAAAACCACACATTTCATGTACCAGATGAAAAGAAA